GTATAACATTATACTGATACATGATTAGGCAATAACAAAATCGTATCTAGATCTGGATGAATTATAATGACATCTCTGTGATGTCACTGGTAGGATGATTAGTAAGGGAAGCATCCCCCAATGGCCGTATGAAAGCAGCTATTTTCAGGTTGGTGAACCATGATATTTCAGCCAGATTGATATAGATGACAGATCATAGATGATAGATCATAGATGATAGATAATAGATGATAGATCATAGAATGAGTAATAGATGGATAATAGACAGGCGAATTGCGATAAACCATGGGTTTTTGGGGTCACTAAATGTTCAGGAACTAGGGCTGCTAGGGCTTCCGTGCTGTCCATGATGTTCGTATATGCGCATAGAACTGCATAGCACATGTCATCCGCAGGAAGAATACTTTTCCACATCGGTAGGCCAACTAGCAACCAGGTAGATTTCCCCTATTTTGACTGCTTTAACCGTAACCAGATTAAGCATGTTTGAATGGTGCTTAATCCTCCAGCTGGGTACCCTTCTGCATGCAGTGGTTGAAACACCAAATTGACCAAATTGATTTCGGGATGGCTCAGAATGCTCAAAATGATCGACCCCTTCAGATCTGGTGTACGAAAGTGAATACACCATGCCAGTAACAAATTAGTAACAAACCCTTTGGGGTTCATTTCACATTCCCCGGGGTATACCCGTTTCAGCTTTCTTGGGGACGGTTTATGGCATTGGTTTTAGTTCATTGCAATTTTTATGTTAATCATTTGTTGTCTGTATTTTCCATAGATGTTGCATCGGTGTCCCAGTCTAGCAATTCGATGGACATGTATTTCTAGATTTCCAGGGTGTCATAGATGATGTTTTCCCATATTTTCCAGGTGTCCAACCTTTCTATCTTTTTGGGGGTTGCTACTTATCCAAATCTGCGTGCTTCCCAGGAGAAGAAGAAGTTCTTGGCGCCCTGGGCACCCGGAAAGCCCCATGATTGGAAAGGGTGTGGAGGTTTGGGTCAACCTCTGGTTGAGTCCTGGTTGCTGGTGGTTTCGAAAGAGGCTTTGGCTGAAAAAATGGGGAAGCTAGATCAGATTAGATGCTTAGATTATATTAACTGGTTGGTGGTTTGGAACATTTTATTTTTCCATATCTTGGGAATAAGCATCCCAACTGACTAATATTTTTCCATAGGGGTTGATACCACCAACCAGTTAACATTAGATCCATCAAGTTCTCTGGTCGATCATCGTCATCGACCCCAGGATTTGATGGCAATGTAAGGGCGGACACCCCGTGTTTGGACAGAGATGTCACACAACTGGACGACCTCAGCTATCAACCTTTTGAGGCTAACCCAGATTCCAAAAAACCTGGAAGAAGATTCGTTGAGCTTATCCCAGGTTTTATTGAACACAGATCCGAAACTTCAGTAAACCATAGTTTTTTCCCATCCATTCCCATCCCCTAATGTTAAAACATGTTAAAACCATCCCTTGAAGCTCTGGTTTGGTATTGAATCTCTTCAGCAACTGGTGGCTTACGCGAAACTGGGCTGAGCCCGAGGTTGACGGCCAAACTGCAGCAACTGGTGGCAGCGCGAATGCAACTGGAACTCAGATTTTCGGTTTCCCAGTAGCTTCATATGATATGGTTTAGTGGTGAGATAAGGCCAGTACATGATATCATCGTGTAAGCTCCATGCAAATTTAGCTCCAATATGGCTTATATAATGGATTTTAGTTAATTAATGATGAGATTCAACCACCAAACATGGACTGGAAACAACCATTGAGACAAACTGGATAATACAGGATATAACTACCAATATGACATGGGGTTGTCTGGCAAATTTTAGCATCACGGGCCGACCTCACCCAAACTATACTTCTTCAGGTTTGTGAGTTCTGGTCATTTGCCCAGAATATTTTAGTTCGGGGATTTCTCAATGTTTGATTACCAGTTGGTTGGTTCTACATTCCGAATTGAATCCTTTTAAATCCCCATGAAGTCCGACTAAATCAGCACTAATTCCCCATTGAATCCCATGAAATCAACATTAAATCACAGTATAAATCCCCTATCCCATGAAACCGCCATTTCGAATAATGTGGGGGAAAGAATTTCATACACCATCCCCCAGTCATCACAATTTTATAGGTGGTATAAACCATTCACAAATGGCTATGGATCAATACCTATTAATACCATTTTTAGTGGGATGAACATCCATTTACCAGCTATTTTGGGGTTCACTAGGGGTACAAGGTTTTGACACACTGCCAAATGGGTGTGTTTTTTTTTGTTTTACCCACATTAGTTCAATCCGTCCTGCATGCAGTGGCCGCTAGGATCCGCCGAGAGACGAAGGAACGCCTCTATGGCTTGGGAGGTCGTCCAATAGGGACCGAATTGTTGCGCCCGTACAGCCACACAGATGATGGACTTTACCAACAAAAAAGGATGATTTTGCCAACACATTAAATGGTAATTTTACGAACAAACATGGTGAATTTACCATATTTTACCAACAAACATGGTGAGTTTACCATATTTTACCAACAAACATGGTGAGTTTACCATATTTTACCAACAAACATGGTGCTTCTACCAAAATGCTGATTCAACCATGAACAATGGTGAATGAAGCGGAAACAATGATGATTTCACCGATTCAACCAAGAAAATTATGTGGATTTTACCATGACAAATTGGGAGTTCACCAAGAACAATGATTGTATAATGGGAATGTCATAGGGATATGTAACAGGTGGGGGCCTCCTTGGTTAACGTTTGGGTTTATCCAGGGATATAACTAGACTTGTACAATGGGTTTACAAAGCAACTTAGAACTGGGAGCCTCACCCGGTATGTATGTACGTATGTATATATATATATATTATATAATATAATACAGTATATATATAGAATATAATATATATAATAATATATATATATGATATATAGAATATAATGTATATAATCCGTATATATAGCATATATATATATTATGTATATATATATATAGCATTATATATAGTATTATATATATATAGTATTGTATATATAGTATTATATATAGAGTATTATAAATATAGTATATAGTATATATATAGTGTATATGTATAGCATATATATAGTATATATAATTATAGTATATATATGTATATATCATGTGTACATGAGTATATATATATTATGTGTATAATATATATATATGGAAACCACCTGCAAACGAGGTAAACATGGGAATACATTATGGTTACTGTAATGTGATAAATGATGATATATCAATGATAATTTGATGGGTATATATATATATGTATATATAATACATATATGATAGTTGATAATCCACGGGTATGGGTACTTGAAATGATGATGCCCGTTGCTAAACGAACAGTTTGCTATGGTTAGATATGTATCCATGGCCATTTGAGCGATGATTATTGAAGATACTGACTTTCCATAAGAAAATTGCAACACCTTACCAGAGGGTATTTATTTTTTTGACTTGTCCAAAATTGCCCCGATAGGCGCAGCACCAGAGAAGGATTGACTCAAATGACTTGATCCCATGAGGAAAAAATGGCAGCACCTGCTGATTTCAAGGCATGGTTGACCTCTAGATCTTAGATCATGGGACCCCAATTCCCATACCACTCCGATACTACTCCCATATGAAACCCCTATATAGTATGGCAAGAATCGGGAGGATTATGGGAATGGGGCTCCCATCACTGCCAGTCAGCTGGGAGGGGCGCCAACCAGCTCCAGCTACTGGATCTGCTTGGCAAATTCATAGCAATGTCCAAGGGAATTCAAATGGTTTCTCATACTTCCCCCAATGAAGTTTCCAAGTTTCCGAATTTTTGCACCCATATGGATCCCATATTATGGCTGTGTTGCCGTTTTCCTTTAGATATTGCCAGATATGAAACTGGGGAACCCCAAAATCTCACAGTGAATCATCTCATATTTTCCATTTACAAATTTAATTAGTCAAAGTATAAAAATGGTGGGTTTATAGACATCCCATGGTATCCCCCATTTTGATCCATACTGAGACTCGCCATACCGTTGCCATTTGGTTCACAGGACGTGTCAATCAATCCGTGCCATTTGGTTCTCATCGGTTCCTGGGCAAGCTGATGTCAGAGCGGCTGAGGCGAGCTGCGGAATGCCCAGTGAAGCCCTCAAAACTTCACCGGAAACCCTCATGGGAACCATGTCATTTCCAGGAAGAAGCATCTTCCAAAATTATTGCTCTTTTGGGTTCCATTTTGTTGAACAATTGTAATTCCCAACAGCGAATCTGTTGGGTTTCAATCTCTGGGGCCGGAGACTGGTGACACGAAAATGCACGCCCAGAAAAACCGGAACAGTCCTGGAACCTTGCTGGAACCTTTCGCTGTTGGGTTGCAAAGCTGGGCTAATTGTTGTGTGTTATTGATAGATCAGTAGTTCCGGAAAGTCATCGTTTCTTGTCAAATAATGATAACAATTGTAGACCTTAGATACAATATTAGATGATTACATCTCCCTATTGTAGCAATTACTACCTGCATATTATTGTATCTAGTTAATTGCCCAACGGCAATAAGAACTATGGCTTATCAGATTATTATCATAATTCTTGATTACAACATATCTAGCATGTCAACTCCAATCTAATTGCTCTAATTATGTCGAGTTATTCCCCAACTAATAAAACCAACAAGAACAACAACAAAAATACCAAGAATAATGTCACCAAGAATATCAAAAAATCTAACTATAAACATTGATATTTTCAAAACATCTAATCACCATAACCCTTCTTTTTACTCTTAGACGCCTCAACTCCCCAGGGATCGACACGAAGCGGCCATGGATGCCGATCTGGACCTGCAGACGGAGAAGTCCGGGGAACGCTTGCTGAAAGCATCTGCAGGCAGATCAGTGGCGCTAGGAAAATCCATGTGCTATGTCCATGTGAAATCTATGTAATCCATGTGTATATATATATATCCCATATATTGACCCAAAATTGGAGGGAGAACACTTGATGCAGCACTGATCCAGTGCCTTTTTCATCCTTTTTCCACATTTTTCAAACAGTGTCACCAGGTCACCAGCTTGCCGCAGGTGCCTTCAGCAGCACGGAGGAAGCCAGGCAGTGCTGGAACAGCTTGGAACAGGCCGAGCTCAGGAAGAGCCGCCTGCAGGCCGAGCTGCGATCCCTTCAGTCGCAGCAGCGGCAGCATCAAACCCGTGCCACGGCTGCAACCGGGCGCACGGTGAGGGGAAAAATTGTGGTTTTACCATAAGTAGATGTGTAAGTTTAGAGAACGGTTAAGTGGCTTCAAACTGCTAAGTTTACGGGTTTTTTATAGCTCCCTTTCTATACATCTATAATATCCGTGACTCCTAGTGGGGCCTTGACTAAAAGGATCCCCAGGAAAGGGAGACAACATGAGACAACTTTTATCCCAGAATTGGGTTTTCCCATGAACGGTGCATATTCGGCCCAAATCCCAAGATGTCTTGTTCAACTAATTAGTAATTTCCTGAAGTGTCCTTCAGCAAATCGGAAATTCAGTGTCATGAAGCCTCTTTTTTTGGTCCATGCAGATGGAGTTTCCCGCATAGAATGAGGAGCTTCCGACACGCCCAGAATTGGCTTCTGGGAAAACTTGCAGGAATACGTATCCCCATGACAACCCAATTGAATATTCATTTTTGTCCGCGAAGTCCCCGTTTTTCATGCTTATAAATCCAATTAGACCCCATTAAAACCAATAAACCTCCTTAAACCCCATTAAACTGAATTAAACCCCAATAATCCCACTAGATCCCCATCACAACATCATTATCTTTCCATGTTTGTTGCTCAAGCCGCAAGCCCCCATCTGCCGCCCATCTGCCACCAGTTCCCACGGCAGGTATCCATGCCTTTGTCAAAGAGGAACAGCGCGAGAAGGCGCTGACAGAGCGGCTGCTACAGCTGCAGCATGCGGAAATGCAGCTGGGTCTTCCGCACATCGACATCGACCACCGAAGCGGCATTTGTTCCCTGGGCGATCGGAGAAAATGAGATTTTTTCATGTGCCATAAATGGTGAATTTAACCAAGAACAAATGATGGATGGAATGATGGGATAGAATGGTTGATGTCATCGGGGGTATGAAAACAAGCATTTATTGGGGTTGTAATGGGAATACTAAAGGTTATATTGAATGGAATAACCGAATAGGGTTTTAAGCAAACATAAATGAACATACTGGTAGCGAGAAATTGTTTCAAACCGATTGATTGTTCCGTGATGGTAGGTTTGGCAATCCCCAAATTGGCTTATTTCATCGTATTTCATCTTATTTTCTTTGTGGGAACTAGCGCTTGCCCCGACAACATATAGGGAATACCCTCTGGTAAACATACACAAAACTATGGAAAATCACCATTTTTATTGGGTGAATCCACTATAAATGGCCATTTTCAATAGCTATGCTAGTTTACTAGAGGGTAGATCTTTCAGAACTTTCCGCCGCAACAGTGCGACGGCTCGCAGGTTATCTGGGAGATCCGCCTGCCACTGGCGAAGTCCCCCAGAGAGATGGCGATGGCGAGACGGAGGCACTTCGCTCCATCAAGGTGGAGTTTGATGAGGAGCTGATCCGATGATAGCGCCATAGTTGGATCATCTTGGAGGATGGTAGGATTTTTTTCTTGAAGCCCCCTGTTGTTCCGCAAAAGATGCAGTAGAGTTGAATCAACATTCAGAACACTTAAAACACCTCAATTCCATGGATTACTCAGCATTTTCCCATATTTTCCCTATTGAAATAGCACTTTCTTTCCAGGAAGGAACTCTTCTCCATGCGGAGCCGCATCCCTCGCTGGGCCTAGAGCGGCTGGGCTGGGCCAGGGAGTTGTAGCGGCTATATGGGATAATATGGGATATATATATATATACCCTCTGGTTATGACTAACATAGCCATGATATAGATGGCCCATTTATAGATGGTTTACCTTGCCTCTTAAAAATAACCAGATGGTATATATAACCAGCTGGTATATATATATATATATATATATATGTATGGGATATGTACATGGCATATATATATATATGTATATATATATATACATGGGATGATACGTGCGCCCAAGTGAACAAACGTCCAAAGGTCGATGGAGTTCTTTTTTTGGGGGCACGGCTAGAGAATTTCCGACAGGTTTCAATCCAGGATGCATGTTTTTTGAATGGCTCTCGATTGGATGGCGGCCCCAAGGCAATTCCAATAGCAGTACATACAAACCTGGGGCATTCCTCAGCTGTTGGTCTCTGCTCAATTGGGCAATCCTTGCAGATTGTTGATTTCCGCACTTTTCCGCTATATATGTTTGCTATGTATTCTATTTATTCCTATGCAAGTTACCCGGTGAAATTCTCAAAATTTGAGGGCCCCCCGATGATGGGACCCCCATTCTCATAAGCTTCCCAGAAGCTTCCACCAATGCACTTTCCATAGGGACTTTGCCTCCCAGGAATTGTGCAGCACAAGCCGTTGCGCAGCAGGAGCCGTCGGGTGTTCACTGGGGCCAGCCCAGGTGGTTCCAAGGTGGTGTTTTGCAGGACCTCAACCCTACTACTTGGGTGGACATACATTACATACAATCTTGGTATATCTCTGTATAGGTCTATATCTATCAATCTATCAATCCATCAATCCATCAATCTATCAATCTATCTATCTTTCTTATCCTATCTATCAATCTTATCCATCTTATCTATCTTTCTTATCCTATCTATCTAATCTATCTATCTAATCTATCTATCTAATCTATCTATCTAATCTATCTATCTAATCTATCTATCTAATCTATCTATCTAATCTATCTATCTAATCTATCTATCTAATCTATCTATCTATCTAATCTATCTATCTAATCTATCTATCTATCTATCTATCTATCTATCTATCTAATTATACTAATACTGGTATGTATTTCAACATATGTGCGTTCAGAAAGGTCATTCACATACCAGTGAATACTGACATATTCCACGGAAGAAACTAGAAACCTCGGAAGGACTTCGCCATTCTGCCGACGATGGTGTGGAATCATCTCTGCGACGCTGGCAAGATCGGGTCCAGCCCAGAGGACGGGGTGAGTGTCACTGCTGCATCCCTAGAATTTTCCGGATGGAATCCCCAAAATCAGCTGGAAACAGTACGAGGCCAAAAAAAAAAGTTGGGCAACCACAAACTGAACCTGTGATGGACAATTTCGCTCCTCCCACAAAACCGACTATCATTTGATGTCCAAGTGATCACAGGTGATCTTTCCGACACAGGACGCATTGAGCCCCTTGCAGCCCATGCAGGGCGCTCGGGGAGGTGCCTGAAGCGTAGTGCGGTGAAGCGACTAATTCAGATTAATTCAAGGCCAAGGTACGGTGGATGCTGGTGGAATATTGATGTTAGCGCATGTCATGGCTCAATACTTCGCATTCTTTTGGATGATGTAGTTCAAAACGCAATCAAAAAAACATGGCCCACCAAATGGGACATTTTTTGTCTCAATGCATCTTTGAATGGGGTCAACCATTTTCGGCCAAGTTCATTTGGTCAGTTGAGCCACCCACTTGGCGAAATTCATGGCCCTTGCAACTTCGTGCAACTCCGACTCCTTCTGAAAAAAAGGCTTGGCTAAGGATAAAACCATCCCTTATCATTTGAAACACTTAAGCTTTGCTAAGTCTACTAGGTATCCGATGTTTTTCTGGGAATGTCTTTGGCATGTCTGTCAGTTTGGAGCGATCGCTTTCGTGGATCCAAGCGGTTTGCTGCTTCGACTTGCCGCAGACATATCTAGCTTGATGGAAACTCCTTAGACTCATGCTGATCATGCAGTCTCAGACCATGGAAAATAGTTCATTTTCTCCCGCCACCAGCTCATTTTGATCCAGATCAACATTGATAAACATAACATGTGGTGCACTCGCCGGCCTGGGCGCCTCTCCAGCGTCCTATATGGCTGATGAGGCGCGGCCTGACCATAGGAACATGACGATTGAAAATACCCGAGGGAACCATATGGACACATCATTTTTCTCAATTCAAACGGCATTTTTTGGAGATACTGATTTGCCCTACTTGCTAGTTGGTTACTCATCTCAAATTTTTCAGTTTCCATGTGATTGTCATGCTATGTCATGCTAAAGCAGCGAATTCCGCATGGTTGTTTCTTCTGTGTTGGTTGCGTCTTGTTGCCAGTAAGTATCTTTGGCATTCTTTTGCTGTTTTCTTTCGATTCAGATTGGTAGATATCTATATAGTGAATCTAGTTTTAATACTGGAAATATCCATAGATATCCATAAATATCCTATGTTTCCCCAATTTTCCCGACTTGTGTCCTCATGTTTGTGGCTTCATGGCCCCACCCCCCAGGGTTCGAGAAGTTTGCTGTACCCTCCCGACGGTCGTGAAGCGGCCCCCGTTGGGTGTTTAGTCTTGGGCTGGAATCACAGCTGGGAATCTCAATCTCTGCCTTCAAATTGATATAGAATAAATTAGAATACTACATAAAGAAATGCATAGAGTCATAGAGCCAAAAGACACATACACACCTATAATCAATCACCTATATGGAGGTTTCGTAAGTCATGGGGGGTACCCCTAGTCATCATCCATTTATAGATGGATTAAATGGGGGGTACCCCTAAATCATCCATTTTGATAGGATTTTCCATTATAAACCAACCATTTTGGGGATCCCCCATTTCTGGAAACCACCATTCCAAGTCATCACCTCCCGTCGCCGCAGACGTCATGGGACGTTGGAGCGATGCGGTGTCTCCCGTGCGCGACGGCGAGGCAGTGAAGATATCCACATCTGAGCCATGAAAACTATGGTTATTAATATGGGTTTATACGGTTAACATCATGGGTTTATATCCACAGTTAATGGTCCATATGACAGATATACTGATTTAATTAATAGGTTATTATGGTCCATCATAACTATATGTTATTATTAATAATGGTTAATATAACATGGACCCATGAATATAAGCCATTAGCTAGTGTTTTTTTTGGTGGGCTTAATATATCTATTTTGGTAAACACATAATTATCACTTGGAGCATCGTTCCACTGAGTACGCGGTTCGTAAATGGGCTAACTTACCCGTTTATTTATATATATATATATACATATAGAGAGAGAGATGGGATAACCCACTTAGGGAACTTAGTAACCAGGGTTGTTAACCACATACTAAGTGGGATGATCCTCCAGGTGGCACACTGGGTTATACTAGCTGGTTTATGAGAGATGATCATGAGCCATGATGGAAATCCCTATCAACCAACCAGTGTAATGGGATGGGATATGGCTATTTTTCATGGCTCATCTGGGGATAGGGCGGATACGGGGATACCATTTATTTGGATGAATATGGATGAATTGTAATGACCTCAGTGGCCTGTGATGTCACTGGAATGATGGTGCATGGATTCTGGGAGTCCTCCCAAATGGATCCAAATGGCTGCATGATACCAGCTATTTCATGTTAGTGAATGATTAGAGGGGATGGTGGACCGCTGGTGCGAACATCCATAGGTGAGGAGAACGCCCAAGGGCAGCTTGACCGGCCTCTTAAAGCAATCCGTCGCGTCCTTGGGTGTTGGGCATTGGTAGCTGTAGGGTGGCTGAACTACCTAGAAAAAATGGCTGAACTTTTGCCGATGATTGATATCCATGGGTTTAATTCTCCATTGCTGTGTTTGATTCTGAGGGTAGTCAGCACGATTCACATTGGTTTCTGCGCGCGCAGAAACAGGGCGTGACATGTTCGCGTACCTCCAAGTCATAATGTGATAGCTCGGCCGGCTCGTGGCCTCCCCACAATTCATGCTTTGAAAGGAAACTGTATCCAGGGTTGGTGATTGTTAATGAATCCATTAGTATAACATTAGTATATCATTAATATTCCATGTTTGGGTTGGTGATGGATTGAGTTGTAATCTTGAAGAATTAGGCTAAACATTTGCAAGTCAAGTCATCCTAGTATATCTTGTCTCGCAGATGACCTGATGTCACTGCATGGTGGGAAGGCATGTGCGCCATGGTGCGCCGATCCACTAGCCATCGATAGCCACTGCTGTTTCATGACATTCCTGCGAGACTCATCCCTGATAAGGAGGAACAACAGCAGCAAGGAAAACCCATAGATGTTTTATATATAGTAACCGGAAACAAGAAGATAGAACAGTAACTTATCACTATTCCAATCTATTCTAGTTAGTTGATTTTTGCTAGATTCTATGTTTTGGGGGTCACTATGTCACTATGCTGCGGAGAGGAAAACATCCAGTTGGCTTACGTGGACTTTGGGCTGAGGTTGCAGGCCTTGTGGGTCAGTCCCAGGACGTGCTGAAGCAGAAAGCTAGGGGCCGTGCGAAAACTGGGACATATACCCCTTGAAATTCACGATGGAACGAGCATTGCCGAGCAGTTAAAAAAAAAATAATTGTTGACTATAAATCATCCCCAAACCTTGGTTCCAGGTTGGATCTTCATGATTTTTCAGGATGCCAGTCCTACAGCTTTCCGTGCCTCGTGAGGATCCAAGCTCTCCGGGCAAGGGTAAGAGGCACCGGCTGAGGGTAAGGGGATCCTCATGGTTTCCCCCACCGAGTTGTGAATAGGGAGCCAAAAAACCCTCTCTGCAAGGCCTTTCTTGCGACAAACGACGATGGACAAGGATGAACTCCAAATCTTTAATGTGCTTTTTGGATGGGGATTCACCATACGCATAAGCAACTCTACACTTTTTGACGGGCGGCGGCTGAAGACCGCTGAGATCCTCCTTTTTCCATTTTTTTTCCATGGTTACAGGTGGTTAAAACCAATTCCCTGCCGGAGAAGTCATGGTGAACCCACGGCTGGCAGGCTCTCCTGGTTCGGCCTGGGGACCCGCCGGTCACCTGCACCGGAGGAAGATGCAGGTCCGATTTTTGGGGCCGCGTTTGGGGATGGGTTTGTACCCATGGTTATATGAATATATGGGTATGGATCAATATCTATTAATATCATTTTTAGGGGGATGAGCATCCATTTACCAGCTATTTTGATGTTCACCAGGGGTACAAGGTTTTGACACACTGCCATATGAGTCATGTTGGGAGAACATCCGAAATTGAACATTTCAATCATTTCAATCCCGAAAACACAGAAAATAGATGAAAATAGAGACATTTTCTGGGGGATTTATGGGATATTTAAAGCCAAGTCGAGATGGCTGTGGATGGCCTTAGGCACCTCTCTGTTTATGATGTTGGAGTCCTGGATATCCCGGCGTGGATCGAAACACCGAAACACGGGCACTGTATAGATGGGAGAGATCTCCTGGTAAACTAATGTACCTATGGGAAATCACCATTTTCAATGGGTAAGTCCACTATTTCTATGGCCATTTTTCAATAGCTATGTTAAATTACCAGAGGGTAGATCTCCTGGTCGAATTTTCTTGGGATCAGGGCAGAAACATCGTTCCATCTGCGTAATCGCATCCTCGTAATAGCGGATCCCGAAACGACCAGATGAAACGGCGTGAATAAGGGTGTCTTAGAACGGTGTTTAGTACGGGGAAGGGATCACTGTAAAGATGGCCACATGATCTCGATCATCTTCATCTTTCTTGGCCACTTCTTTGCTGATTTTTGGACGTGTTCAACGGCCCCAAATGGAACTTCCGATGGGAATTTCACCTCGTTGCGAGGGCGAGCCTGGCTCCAAGATATGCTAAGACTTAGCAGATAGGGAGAGAAGTGAGGCAATCCAATGTTCAAAATCCGACGGTTCCGTTCTTGAAAAGCTGTCTCTTCATGTTCAGGAAGGTTCAGCAACTGTCAGGAACTTTGGTTTCACTGTGTTTTTTTTGAATACTGCAGGTTACCATCCGATAATCAAAGATGGCAGCGGAAAATCCCCTAGCAATGGAGGAGTTAATGGGAACATCATCTATAAATGGTTGATTTTCCATTGCCATATAGAAATGATTTGTTTATCAGAGGGTAACTACCGCGGAGTTTTGTTAGGATGGCCGGGTTGCACGGGTCTTTTTCTAATTTTCTTTGGGCACCAACAGACCCAGGTAGCTGATCAAAAATGGACCTTTTGGGACCACATCGCTTTAGCATTTCTCCCGCTAGAAAAGCAAAACTGTTAGAAAGTTACCAACAAACCATTTATAATCATTTAGAATATATATATATATACACACATAAAACCTTTACTATACACATGATTGTATATAACTGCGTATCGTATGTGTAAAGATAGTATATTCACTACAACGATCCACAGGTGATCTGTTGGATGTTGGGGCCTTCTTCGCCAGGCCCCTCTGATGGTGACATCGAAGGCCGGCTTGGGCTCACTCTTCACCTTCGGTCCCTTCAAAAAATGGTATGTTAAATGATGTTCCTCCATCAGTCACATCTGCTCTCTCTCTCTCTCTCTCTTTCTCTCTCCCTACATAATTTTACACAATGTATGTATATATGATATATATGTGTATATCTGTGTGTGTGTCTAGACTAGACATAGTGTTCAGTGGTTGGGATCTAATGACCCATCATTGAGTAAACAACCTTGGGTAAGTGACATCGTGGGGTACTTTGTCAAAAACGCTTGAGGTTGCTGAGGTTGGCCATACATTTCGAACAATTATTAAGAATATCCCAAGATTCCAATAATCCCATCCCATCCCCCCTCAACGTTAAGCAACCTAATTACTTGAAACCCTCGGCACTGGGATCTCCGCATTTTGGGGGTCACCCAACAGGGATTTGACGCAATTGAACAATAGGGGATAATTAACCCAACATCCAATGTTTTTGGTAGCCAAATACCAGCCCAATTACTTAAGTAGAATAGCCATCCGTTATGATTGACAATGGAATCATATAGATAAGGTTCTATTTATGAATGGGATGTTTTGGGATTATAGCAACTCAACCCCTAAAAAGATCTAAAAAGTTGAAAAGTAAAGTCCTACTAAAACAATGGCAAAAAATTGTCCTGTCCTATCCTTTTTGGGGGTGCCACACAATAACCCTCAAATTGTAAGCATGTATATACCCTCCAGCAGAGCATTTCGGGTTCAACGCTGCGTAGCAGCTAGCACATAAATTTTCGCCGCACCACAGCAATGGCGTCAAAGGCAAAGCATCAGGCAACAGGAGACACCCCGGAACCAGCTTCGAGAAAATTGAAATTCGAGAAAGAAAAGAAAGAACATGAAGATGAATCGATGATGGATGAAGAGATCCTGTTGCGAACTATCCGGGAAATCCAAGAACAGGCATCAGCGACCAAGGTGCAGGCAGCCTTCCTGCTAGCGCAACATGCAGATGCACAGAGAGATAAAGCAAAGAAAGAAATAATCTTTGGAGGATGGACAACATTCACACTCCCTTCTCATGCCGATCTTGAACTACAAGGGCTCCTCATGGAAAATCAGACAGACTCAAGGGAGAGATACATCAAAGAAACAGCAAAGAGGGCAGGAATCACCAGCAACTACTACCGTGACTGGACTTACAGCCATCAAACCAGAGGAGACACGCTCTCCGCAATCACAATTGTCACAGTCACACAACCATGGCAAAGATCCAAGTTACTAGACTACGTGAAGAAGAGCGACGGCCTGAAAGAGAAGTTCTACCTCAAAGATGAGGAAGAAACGCAATGGGAAAAGCTCACCAAAGCCTTCGGCAACGGGCAGCAAAACGCAGGCAACACAATCAAGATTCAACCGCAGATCTCACTATGGGACCGTACTACGGGAATCCCACTCAAGGTAGCTATGAACATCGCCCAGGAACAGCAAATCCCCTTCAAGCAGAATTGGAGAGATCACACTTTGTTTGGTACACAAGGACTCCGCAGAATACATCCTATGGGCGCACTTCTCACCGGAAAAGGGCAAAGTCACAGTGTACCTCTCCCTGATGCGTTCCAGAGGTTCTTTCTCCCAAAGTTTGATGAGTACATGAATGGCAAAGGCAAAGGAAATGGCAAAGGAAAATCGATGGCACAGAGCGCCGCCAGCACCGAGAAAGACCCTTTCCACTTATCTTTGACGCACACATCCCACTCGAGTACGGCAAGGTACCCCTTCATGATCGACGTGCGCATCGTAGATGACACCGCTTCGCACTGGGAGGTTTGGAGGGAACTCTGGCAAGAAGCCGTTGCAGATGCCACCCGCCCCTACATGGCAGCAAGACCTTCTGACCGGGAGCTGTGAAGTCTCACCCCGCCGTGTCTTAGCCGTAGGCTTTTTCCCGACACCCACCCACAACATACGGTAATGCCGGGCACACAAAGTATCGCACAGAAAGAAACCACATCACAAAAGGTCAATGCCAGCAACTTAAGGTTCAGACGTGACAGTGGCTACGGCCACAAGACCTACGGGTCTCTCGAGGTAATCTCTTGGTACTCTCAATCTTTGCAACAGAAGAAAGGCAGCCAGACACAAAACAAACACAGAATTGCCAAACTAACATACAACAACTTATCGCTCCATAATCAAGCTTTGTCACAACCTCTAGAGGCGAATTTCCAATCAAATGCAGCGCACACAGGCCTCCCCATGGCAATGCGGGAAAGCCGCACTGAACGTTCTAAACGAACAGACGGCGGTAACCAACTGTCGAACCCAAAACTGCAATCAACTGATTCTACGAAGATGGGCCCCAAACGGAAATGCCGTTCTAATACTGCTTTACTTAGACGTCGAGTTAACAGAGCTAGAAACAGAAACATGCATAGGATATCCTATCGTCATTTAAAGACACAGGCCCTTGCTTTGGCCAGGCAGGTGCCGCTGTTCAAGGTCCAAGATCCAACGGACAATCTTGAGTTTCTTGATTGGTTCAAACCGAAACCTTTTGATTCCCACACACATACTATTACACATGAAGAGTTTTCATTAGGATTTTCTGACTATCAGGACAATAGTTTTAAGGATCATGGGATCACCGATTACAAGATTGCAAGTCTTAATTGTAGAGGTCTTGCATCACCTTCTAGCCGGGAAAGACTTGTCCACACCATGAAGAAATACCATTTAGACATTCTTTGCTTGCAAGAAACAAAAATTAATGTTAACTCCATGGAACTGCATGATGGTTTTAGTTTTTATTGGTCTAGCGGAATCAAAGACGAAGACCGCAACAAAGCGATAGATCTCAAACGCTCGGGTAAGGGGTCAAGGGACAACCCCGAACATGGACAAACCTTCAGAAATGCTATTGAACATCTTGGGGTTGGCGTTGTTCTACATCCACGTATCAGAAAATATGTTTTAGATGTTCGACAGCACAGTGCTAGAAATATCATGGTATCATTGAAAACTAGATGTGGTGTCCTGGACATCTTATCTACTTATGCGCCTCAGGCGTGCCACCGAGACTCACAAGCAGCAGAAGCGCATTACGCGGAATTAGAATCACTTGTGTCAATAAACTATGCCTTCGCTCCTAAATTAGTTCTTGGAGATTTCAATGCAAGATTGATTAAAGCCCTTCCACACGAGACTTGCGTAGGACCTTACACTTTTGGGATCGAGCGACAGGATCTTGATTTTCTTAGTGATGCCCAGCTGGAAAACCGTTTCAAATTTGTAGAGTTTTGTCTGGAAAACCAATTTGTGGTGAAAAACACATTCTTCTGCAAACCCGAAGCTGAACTTGTGACATACAGAAGTGTAGGGGTTAAGGACTGGAGCCCTCCATGGCATCCACATCAATATAGCCAAATGGATTATATTCTCGTTAATGAACCATGGAAAAATGGTATCACAGATATTTTCGCCACAGAGGTGCATGACATTGACACGGATCATAAGATGTTGATTGCCAACGTCCGTCTAAAACTGAAGAAGAAAGGCCGTGTCAAAACTACTTCACGGATTAAATTTCATAAACCTTCGGGAGATGAAATAGCCAATTATAATGCTTGTGTGGCACAAAAAGCTGATGATCTTCAATCATGTGATAATACTGACAGTTTTGATTTGCTGAACTCAATTCTTCTTGAAAGTTCGCAAGCCACGCTCCCAAGATGTCATCCAGAGCAGAAAAAGGATTACATTTCGAAAGATACATGGGACCTTCTAGAAAAACGATGGGAAGCCATTTCAAACCAAGATTCGGCCTTGGCGGAAACGCTGAGCAAGGATATAACCAAGAGAGTTCGACTTGACAAAGAGCAACACTTACTGAACGAATTAGAAGCGATTGATCAAGATGGTTATAAATGGGATGGATTGAAAAAGATGAGAGCCAAATTCACTCCTAATTTTACTAAGTTCAAAGATTCCGCTGGCAATCATGTTCCATACAGTGACTACCCGCAGAAAGCTGCAGACTACTTGGCGACAACCCAATGGAAATGCCCTTCAGCAGAAGACCCAGTTGCACCTTCAAGGATCGATAGCCCTTTGCAGGACGGCAGGTACATCGTGTCTGACGACCCTTTCACAATAGATGAGTTAGATGCTGTTCTAAAAAAGGTTAAAAATAACAAGGCTCCAGGAGTAGATGGTGTTCCAGGAGAGCTTTTTAAATGGCTTGATCAAAATAATCGGAAACTTTTCCTTAAGGTTGCTAACACTTGTCTTAGACATGAGGAGGTGAAACAACATCATATGAATGCTGTCGTTGTTAGTATTTACAAAAAGGGCGATGCTTCGTCTTTAGCTAACTACAGACCCATTTCTTTGCTAAACAGCTGTTACAAAATCATGGCGGCCTTGGTCAAGGAACGGCTAGACTCTGGGCTTGATGCATGGATCTGTTCCACACAGTATGGCTTTAGGAAACATAGAAGCACAGCCCAGGCCATCTTCCTGGCCAGGCGTCTCCAGGACATAGCAGAAAAATCCAATGCCAGATGTACACTTGTTCTATTAGACTGGGAAAAGGCTTTCGACCGAGTATCCCAAGATAAACTAATTGAAACTTTATATCGCTTGAAGGTACCCGAAAAACTCTGCAATCTGATCGGGAGTTTGTATAACGATCCCCAATTTAAAGTTTGCGTGGGAGAAGCAGAATCAACGTGGAGATCGCAGTGCTCAGGAATTCGGCAAGGATGCCCGCTTTCCCCTTATTTATTCACCTTGGTTATGGGAGCCCTTTTTGCGGATGTCATGGAAGAAATCTATACGCCCAGACAACTTGAACCGCTAGATGGTGTCTACTTCAGTAAAATTTTGTATGCTGACGATACATTGATTTTTGGAGCCAACACACAGTGCATAAACACTTTCCTTCATGCCATCGAGCGCCACTCTAAATATTTTGGCGTTAATCTTAATTATGATAAATGCGTCAATCTGACCGCCAACCAGCGACAAAGCTCTGTGCGTTTTGCACAAGAAGGACCGGCAGAGGGGGCATTTGTCCCAAGGAGGAAATCGGCAGTGTATCTAGGGACCCTTTTGACGGATTCCTTTGATAATAGAGCAGAGATTCTCAACAGAATAGGGGATTGCATTGCTACATGTCGGCGCTTAAAGCTATTTTGGGATAAAGCTAACACTTCAATCAAATGGAAAATCCAAGTGTTCACGGCTATCATAAGATCAAAACTGCTATATGGTTTAGAATGTATACAGCTGACCCAAAATGAAATCTCTAAGCTCAATGCTTTTCAAAACAAAACATTACGACGTATTCTCAAGAAACCTCCTACTTTCATAGACCGGGAACAGACCAACCTGAAGATGTATGATGAGATCAGACAGGAACATGGGTGCCATTTTGAACCTTTCGGAGACACTTGGAGAAAAAAGAAATTGAAACTTCTAGGGCACATGCTTAGAAGTAGCAGAGCTGACCCTTTGAACCAAGTCACGTTTGCAGCAGATGGACTTCGTCCCCGTTCGATAGACAAAAGGCGGCCAGGTAGACCCAGACTAGATTGGCTAACTGAAACATATAAAGACGCCTTCCAGCACATGTATGGCCACGATCAGTTTTTTGACCCTTCAGATCTTGAACACATGAATCGAGTCAAACAATGGGCTACACAACGGATTGGCCCTTTCTAAAGGGGGCAAGTCCCAGGCCACTGGCCTCTCAAGGTACTCTCGTGGTAATTTCATAAGTGCAGGTGTGGACGGCATTGTGAATTTATTTGAGGAGTTCTTTTTATTGGAAGGGTGTGGTGTCGGTTTGTACAGTCTCAGTTTTTACAATTTGTCCGTCGGGAGCCCATATGCTCGACCGAAAAAAAATACCCTCCAGCAGTCTAACTCAGATATGGAAAGTTCATCATTTATAGATGGTTCCGCATGGGACACCCATGTGTTTAAATAGCTATCTAAACGTTTACTGGAGGGCACAAAAAATAACCTTGGTACAACAATAATATAATACTACAACCATATAGAAATGGATAACCAAACTATAAAACCACATGACAATCAAATTATAACCATATTTGTATATACACACATATAATACATTTGCTTACATTTCATTGAACACCATATGCTATTTCAACCATAAACATAACATGGCCATGATTAGTTATAATTACCATAGTTATTGACAGTCATATGACATATAAATAGCTTAGTTATAACCACATAGATATATAATGACACAAAAATCATATGACAACCATAAACTGGTTAGTGGTTTGGAACATTTTTTATTTTTCCATGATATATGGGAATGTCATCATCCCAACTGACGAACTCATATTTTTCAGAGGGGTAGGTCAACCACCAACCAGATAATCATTAACCATCATTAACCATATAATAACCATTCATATTACAGTAACCATTAATATTAACCATTAATATTAAACATTAATATTACAGTAACTGTTTATATTAACAATAAATATTAACCATTAATATTAACCATTAATATTAACCATTAATATTAACCATTAATATTACAGTAACTGTTAATATTAACCATTAATATTAACCATTAATATTAACCATTAATATTAACCATTAATATTACAGTAACTGTTAATATTAACCATTAATATTAACCATTAATATTAACCATTAATATTAACCATTAATATTAACCATTAATATTACAGTAACTATTAATATTAACAATAAATATTAACCATTAATATTAACCATTAATATTACAGTAACTGTTAATATTAACCATTAATATTAACCATTAATATTACAGTAACTGTTAATATTAACCATTAATATTAACCATTAATATTACAGTAATTGTTAATATTAACCATTAATATTAACCATTAATATTACAGTAACCGTTAATATTAACCATTAATATTAACCATTAATATTAACCATTAATATTAACCATTAATATTACAGTAACTGTTAATATTAACCATTAATATTAACCATTAATATTAACCATTAATATTACAGTAACTGTTAATATTCACCATTAATATTAACCATTAATATTAACCATTAATATTAACCATTAATATGAACTATTAATATTAACCATTAATATTAACCATTAATATTAACCATTAATATTACCCATTAATATTAACCATTAATATTACAGTAACCATTAATATTAACCATTAATATTACAGTAACTGTTAATATTAACCATTAATATTAACCATTAATATTAACCATTATACCATATTAACAGTATATTACCAACCAATGGTAGCTTGGTCAACCACCAACCAGTAAAACAATGGTGTTTCCCCTCGCTGCAGGTGGTGCCCGTGGTTCCCGCGGCCGCGGATCCGAGAGCAGCACAACAGCTGCCGGCGCGCCGGCCATGCCAGGCTCGACGGCCGAGGACTGCGGACCAGGGATGCTGGTGGCCCATTGTTATTTAACTATTACCATCTGGTTATTTAACCCATAGGAAAATGGAGGTTTTAATGGGAAAACCATAGGAAAACCATAGGAAAACCATAGGTTTTATGGTGATTTAATGGGATTTAATGGGATTTAATGGGATTTACCGTCTGGTTATGACTAACAGTTTGCCATGGAAAATCACCATTTTTAATAGGTAAACCATCTATAAATGGGCCATCTATACCATGGCTATGTTAAATAACCAGAGGGTATATATATAATATATATATATATAATGTTATATATATATGTGGTTTTCTTTACCCAAAGATGACATATATGATGTTATGGTTATATATATATATACATATGGTTTTTACCCTATAAGGTATTATAAACCATAGTTATAGCCAGTTATATAGGTATTCTAAACCATAGTTAGGTGTTTCAATACCATAGTTATTTAAAGGAAGTTTAGTTCGAAAACTTTCGAGTTAACGATTGTCATGATGAGCATTTCCACCATGTCAACCACATCATCATCAAGTAGTTTGGAAGTGTAACAGTTCGGAAGCGTGTAAATTGACGGGCGGCAGCACTCTCGGGCGCGAAACCCTGTGTTATTTTCGGGTAATGCGGCGCCATGGGTCGCCAAAGTAGGGTTTCTGTTTCCGCGGTTTCGTGCCTCGATCTGCGAAAGCTGTCAGCAAAATGTACACCAGACTGTAGCGAGAGCTCGATTTGCATTTCAGAATGTTAAACAACTGTCACGATCGGAGCGCTTTTTGGAATGTGCACGAGACTGTAGCGAGTTCGATTTCACGAAAAAATCAAAACAAACTGAGGTGCGCAGACTAGCGCCGGATTTGTGTGGTGGAGTCCCCATTGTCAGTGCTGTGCGAAGGTTGGTCGATTTGCTCCTGGCAAGTGGGTTTACAATTGGCTGTGACGCAACGCATTGTGACGCAACGCATTGGCAGATTGCTTTGTCTATTTTTTGGGGGTTGCTGCAAGTAATAATTGTGATTAATTGTCATTTATTGCCATGACGATGTTGTTGATGTTTCCATCACTGTTGTTTAACTGTTTCTTTGTTTGTTTGCCTGGTTGGTTTGTTGGTGGCTCGGTCGACCTGTAAACGCGCACTTTCTCATGCGCTTTTCCCATAGGCACAGCGTGTTTTTGTGCATTTTTTACCACGTATATCATGGTTTCGTGGGGTGGGGTGGGGTGGGGTGGGATGATAACGTTCATGTTACGCGTGATGCACAACGCACTGCGATGTTGATGTAATGTTCGTGCACGCTGACATCGGTACGCAGTGCTACGTTGATGGGTGGGGTGGGGTGGGGTGGGATGATAACGTTCATGTTACGCGTGATGCACAACGCAATGCGTTTCAAATTGAGAAAGACAACGCTTGGCTCCCATGAAAAAAAGGAGTGGACGCGCCTCCCAAAACCAACACCACGAAACCCTCATATACGTGGTAAAAAATGCACAGACACACGCTGTGCCTATGGGAAAAGCGCTTAATGAAGCGCGCGTTTACAGGACGACCGACCGTTGTTGGTTGGTTGTTGTTGGTTGGTTGTTGGTTGGTTGTTGTTGGTTGGTTGTTGTTGGTTGGTTGTTGTTGGTTGGTTGTTGTTGGTTGGTTGGTTGGTTGGGTTGGTTGGTTGGGTGGGTGGGTGGGTTGGTTGGTTGGTTGGCTGGTTGGTTGGTTGGTTGGTTGGTTCGGTTGGTTGGTTGTTGTTGTTAGTCGCCATGTGTCTGAATTACGCTGCCACTCCAATGGCCCCTTTACCCGCAACTTAACCCTATCTCCAGATAATCTGATTCCAGGGTAAACTCCCATGCCACTCGCACGAGTGGAACACTTAGAATGCCAAGAGGATTGGACGTGAGCGAATCCCAAGAGACTCTGGTTTGGTAGTGATTTTTCTACCGTTTTGGAAGGATGGGATGAGATGGCTACATGGAACCATGTTGAAACTCTGATCCCATCTGTGCAATGAGATGTAACCAAGCTCTGGACACACACACACACATATATATATACTTGCATCCACTTAGCGGCATTACGGTATTACAAAAAAAATTGCCCTTACACGAGAAAGTTACTTACACGAGAAAGTTACTGAAACGAGAAATAAAAATAAAAAAGTGGAGTAGACAGCTTCTTTTAAGAAAGTGTTTGTAAAAGGAATGAAGGAGAAGGAAGCATATAAACCAAAAGGAGTGCTAATGTCTCCATGGGTGAAATATCAGATTGCGTGTGCTCAAATTTTAATGCATGTGTGTGCCGGCAGTGACAATGTCATGTCTTCCAACAACAAGAAAATAGCTTCAATCATCGGTCCACGCATTTTTTCTCTTGGGCAAACGAGGATTCCAAATATCTACAGCAAGTTTGGTTTGTGCAAGCCACAAACAGGTGAATTAAAGATGGGTTCCCATAGATTTTGAAATCATATGAATTAGACTCGAATAGGCTGAAGCAGCCATGTGCTGAAGCAGCCATAGCTTGGCCGAAGCAGCCATAGCTTGGCCGAAGCAGCCATAGCTTGGCCGATGCAGTCAAAATGCTACTTCTCATCACTTTGTTTTTTCTTTTTCATTCATCCACTTAACCCCTTTTCTTCTCACAATTTCGATCCGCATAGTGGAAGCAAGCTTGCTTTCCGATGGCCATGTGCTGGTCTGAAGCAGCCTGTACTTCTGGTACAGCTTTTCCACATGGAACCTTTTGAGAAGATCCCTTTGGATGACTTTGGCATCAGGCTTAGTGACTACACTGGGGTTGCCACGTCATCGTGGAAGTTCGGGCGGCGGCATCATCATCAGCATGGAAACGGTCATATGTAGTTTAAGCCTAGAGCCTAAATGTGCGAGAAACCGCAAATGATTATGTTTCAGAACATGTACAGCAAACATGAGACAAACCGACTGACAACAGGACATCCCCCTAAGAGAGTCGACACTTTTACCTTTCAACCTGTCATGTTTGTGGGAAATTAAAAGCAGCTTTTTTTTCGATCCCGCATGGAAGGCACAATCAAAACTGCCTATAGGTCCGAAGTGCCTATGTCGCAGCCACATCGTCGCCTATGGCCGAGGCAGCCACACGGCCGATGCAACCGTGGTATGGCCGATGCAGCCACGTCGTCTCGTCTATGGCCGAGGCAGCCACATCACTTGTCTCCATTGTCCTCTTCGTCGTCATCGTCGTCGTCTCCCAAAGGATTCCAGACGTCGTCTTCTTCATCTTCGTCGTTTTCCTCTTCGCCTTCCTCCTGCTCATCCTTTGTTTGCTTGGCTTTGGCTTTTGCCTTAGCCTTTGGTTTGGCCTTTCCCTTGCCTTTGGCCTTTGCCTTTACCTTTGCCTTTGGTTTTGCGGTCTGATTCACAGGTGCCTGCCCACTGCCACCGACGGCTTCACTGTAAGCTGACGAAAACAAGCTGGACTCAGGGTTTGTCATTTCTTTTTCAAGCAATGCAAGCAGCCGGTGGTGCTCTGGGTTGAAGGCAACTCCTACATACCCTATACCCGATTTCGCAAGGCTGCCCAAGCCATGCGGCCGTCCAGAGGTGTCAGATCGATAATGATCTTCGCGAAAAGTCGTGGATCGACTCGTCGCAGAGCTCATAGGACTGTGGTAGCAAACTGGCTCCAAGACCGAACCAGTCTGTGAGGTTATATTCCAGGCCGAAACAGCCTGTGATTGCAGGCCGAGGCAGCCTGGAACGTTTCACGGTTTAAGCCGAAACAGCTTTTACACACGGAAAAGCTTGTGAGCCGAAAACAATGAGAAACGACTTGAGTGAGGCTTCTAAGGAGGGGACTAACAGTTCTCTCCTTAGACTGACAGCAGCGAAGTGTGTAAGGAGAGGGCTGTGAGAGGACTATTCGAAAAAGGTTGTTTTGCCCTAAGGAATTTTATTCAATAGTCCTCTCACAGCCCTCTTCTTACACAGCTCACTGACGAAGGCCCAAGGCAGCCAGGGTGGCCGAAACAGCCAAGCTCAGGCAACATGACGACCTGTGACGACCTCTCCTTACACAGCAGGTTTTTGGTTAAACATGCTGTGTAAGGAGAGGTCATTTCGTCCTCTCCTTACACAGGTAGAGGACGTCCCCGATGCTCGGTTGGAGAGGACAAACAGAGGACAACAGCTTGTAAAACCGAAACACTTAGTAGTATTACACATTCGTCCTCTATTCGTCCTCTCCTTACACAGCTAGGGGACGTCCCCGACCTTCGGTTGGAGAGGGCAAATCGCCCTTTCCTTAGGATAGGGTTTTTGATTATACCCCTTAGGAGGTTAGGGGACGTCCCCGAATTAGAGTCTTAGGAGGTTGAGGGATGTCCCCGAATTACCCCTTAGGAGGTTAGGGGACGTCCCCGAATTAGAGTCTTAGGAGGTTAGGGGATGTCCCCGAATTACCCCTTAGGAGGTTAGGGGACGTCCCCGAATTAGAGTCTTAGGAGGTTAGGGGATGTCCCCGAATTACCCCTTAGGAGGTTAGGGGACGTCCCCGAATTAGAGTCTTAGGAGGTTAGGGGATGTCCCCGAATTAGGGTCTTATAGTCTTAAGAGGTGACATCCCTGTAATTCTTAAGATGATTTTTAAACATATGTCAAAATCCCTTATGACATAAAAAAGAAAATATCCCCCTTACCAGGTTAAAGGACATTTGAATAGTAAACAGTAAACATGTTACATATTTTCCCCTTTTTGGATTCAAATACTCTTTGGTGGTTTCAAAGTCTCTTCCACAACCTGGTCCCAAGAAGGCCACAGCAGCCACTATTTTCTAAGAGACAGTCTGTCTTCTCGAAACCCTTGCTGGCCGAAACAGCCAGGCGATTTGGCCGAAGCAGCCAAGCTTCTGTGGCTGAAGCCTGAAGCAACCACTTTTTTCAAAAAAAAGTTTCGGGCAGGCCGAAGCAGCCTGGCAACGAGCAGGCCGAAGCAGCCTGACTACGCCCTTAATCTCAAGCCTCGGCCGCAGCAGCTTGGGTGAGTTGAAATACCCAGGTGGCTCCTGAGCAGTGTCCAACCCTCAATCGATTGTCCACTTCTGACCTCAAGTTTGGCAGCATTGGCTGATTGTCTTCTGTATTCAAACTCAAGTGTGCTGACCTTAATATTTCACAGCTTGCCATTTCATCTGCTGCTGCATCAGCAGCGAGTGCCACAACTCTTGACCGCAGGTGTTTAAAAAGATTTTTCTTCAAACGCCCAGGATTCTGACTAAGAGGAGCCATATAAAATCTAGAGCAAGCACGCTTCATGACTGCCCATGTGGCTAAGGAGACATTGGCAGCTCCTGTTCCAGCTTGCCTTGCTTGGCCTAAAAAGCCACTTCGAGTTGTCAAGTCTGGGGCCACAGCCATGAATCGTATGGCCAACCGCCCATGCCGCTCATCCCGCATCAAAGAAATGTGAGAAGATTTCGCAATGAACGTTTGGTCCAAAGCTTTTAACCCCTCTGCCAAACACCATGCCATTTGCAGCTCTTTTTGCGTCAATGATCTTTTCTCGCCAAAGCACTCCATCAGCTCTTGAAACTGACTCAATGCCAGGGCTGCATCGGGACTAGGACCAACACAGCCCCCTTCCTTCAACCATTCCTTCACCGCTGCCTTGTGCGCCTTGCTTTTATGGTGCTTCATCAAATTGCAGTTCTGCAGTTGGCCCTTCTTGGTCATTGAATAAGAAGCGAAAGGATTGGAAACCCCAGTTTCCTTGCACACTTTACAACCAACACCCCAAGGTTGCTGCTTCACATCCAACCATGACCCTAGCTCTGGCTGGCCATCTGAGACGAGGAACATGTTACACCATTTTTTGCCCGAACTACGCCATCTGAATTTGGCCCCGGTTTCCAAGCTTGACATTGCTACCGTGGCCGAAGCAGCCACTAAAATGGCCGAGCCAAGCCAGTACCGCGGCCGAAACAGCCACAATGGAGCGGCGCATCTTAACCATTGAGCCAAAAGAAAACGAGAAAAGAAAATAGTCATGACACTTGTTAAAATATCTAGCCGGGCGTCTATACGAGAAATTTCCTTCTGCGGACGTCGCCAGGCAGAGAACAGAAAAGCTGTCCCACAATAAGTGTGTCAGAAGAAAAATGTGTCATATACCACAACTAAGGAAAATTGAGCTGAGAATTCTAGTAGAACGCATGTGGCATGGTTTTAAAAGTCATGAAGGTTTTTGTAACAAAGTCTGAAAACACAAAGCGACGAGTTCTGAAAATAGCTTAATTTTGAAAAACCAAAACGAGAAAATATCTCCAAAGCCCCAATTTTTTTTGTAATACCGTAATACGCTTAAGTGGATGCAAGTATATACATATGTGTATATATATATATACATATGTGTATATATATATAGATATCATTTTGCACCTATATCTATATCTATATTTATATCTATCTACCTACCTTCTGTATATATATATTTAATATACATGTATAGAAACTCCTTTTTTCAAGGTGTTGCCGACCACCAATTCCTACAAGACTTGAGGAGTTTGCTGTGGCCAGCCAGTTGCTTGAAGGCGCGGGTGTTCGAACTGATGGTTATCTGACCGGTAAACGAGCATGAAAAATAACGCACACATTATATGCAGACATGACTATCGCATTTGTATTTGCCACATTGTTCAAGTGTAATAGTATGTCGGTAAACATGGATCTTAATACATATGTGTGAAGCACTGTATGGTATGTGTATACTGTATATGCAAGCATGTTGATGTACACCTTTGTATGTATATATATATATCTATATACATATACGTGTATATCTCGAGAGATATAATGCATGTATGCGCATGGGTGAGTGTTCCCCTGGCAACACACAGAGGTATACCCTCGGACAATCAAACATGACACTGAACATTTCCCCATTCATAGATGATTTTCCCATAAACATATATTTTTCCAATTGCCATGCTTGATTACCGGAACGTGTACAAATCACAAAGTATACACTGTATATGTGAAGTATTGCGAAGTCTATTTTTGATTATATATTTAGTTGTTTTAGATATGTTTTTTTTTAAAAGAATATATGTCTATACGCACATATAACATAAATAACACCAAGTTGCAAACCAAACTGGTTGGAGTTACCATGTGATCCGCGGGCCAAGGCTTGTACGGCAAGCGGCTTGAAGCCAGCAAGGCAGCTGGCTGTGGGGGTCCTGCTTTCGCAGGAGAGGAACATTTGAAGATTTGATAGTTGATGTTGGTTGATGTAGATTGCTATAAGGCTATATTTCATATTATTGCTTTGTAATTATTTGTATACCATCTATATATATATATACATACACACACATACATATATATATATATACACACCGACCTCTACCTTAAGAAATTAATCCAGGTAGACCGTTGGTTATCCAATTATTTTTTTGCAATTAATTTTGAATTGGGTGTTTTTTTTCGAGAACTCTATTTTCCGAGGATTAATTTAAGTTAGGTGTGCCCAAAATAATTTAGTCTGAATGCTTGAGAATGAGAGTGGGGCCACCTCGAATTAATTTGGCAATGTTTCGTCAAACTAATTCAAACCATGGGGTCCCAAACCAGCACACCCACCCTCAAATTAACTTTACGCGTGGCCACGCGCGCTTGGAAAAAAAATGTTGGCGCAAAAAGAAATAGATTGGGTGTTTATTTATTCGTCAGGTTTTTTAACGGGTTTTCAATTCTCATTGCACGCAATCAATATAATTCTGTTCCAAACGCATCTTCTTGCTTGTAAATGCCACCCACCCCCACCTTGCCTGGAAACCACAGAGCCGCGAAAGAGTGAAAATACAAACTTTGCTTCCGGGAGGGAGCCTGCGGCGGATGAGTCTATGAGTCTATGAGTCTATCTATCTATCTATCTGTCTATCTATCTATCTTTCTATCTTTCTATCTGTGTAATTTTCTGTGTAATACCTAAATTCACCATTCCATCATTTCAGATTAAACTGATTGAACCATTTTTTTGAATCATTTCAGATATGAACTGCCTATGTCAGAGGTATCTGGCCGCTATTCCAAGCATCGGTAGACCACCTGTTCCAGGCCATGGAAATTCTGAGCACGGTACCGGAGCCCGGGGGCTCAGCACGGCCGTTCAAGGCTGATTGGTTGTTGGTGGTTCCATTCATATTTGTTGATTTTCCATCAATAAAATCGGGTGAGGATCTTATTTGATTAACCAACATTTTTCTCGAATGGGTTGAACCTCTTGTAGAAATAAACGTGTTTCCTTCCCGGGCCCGGTGTCACCAAGAAGTCTCTGGTCATTTCCCTGGGATGATTGGAAGGGTTGAATGGGTCAAACACATAGCCACACACACACACACATATATATATATATAGATACCGCCATAGATATAGACAAGATATAGAAACAGAGAGATATAGCTATAGATATAGATATAGACATAGAGGGAGTTCCCAAGTGCGGCAGAAAATGGCTGTTTGAGGAGGGGTCTGAGAACAAACACCTATAACCTATAGGACCTACCTAGGACCTACTGTAGGAAATTGATTTGTCCTGATCTGGGCCTAAACTGACGGCTTCAGCTATTGCAATCTCTTGGTTTCTTGGGTTAGTGAAAGCAGAATGTTCTTCCGTTGTTAGTGAAAAAAACGCCCCTGGGAATGCGAAACAAATTCTGCCCCAGAATTGCCTTCCTTGTATTTTCAGGTCTTGAGCCTTTGTTGTAAGTTCCAAGGGGGTGTTGTTTCTCGTTGCACTAACATTGGGATTTCATCCTGCTCAGCTTGCCACGGGAGGATCAGCTGGTTAGTGGAGTGCTACTGCATGACACCAGCACAGCCGGGCTGGCGCAAGAGCTGCTGGGCGCAGCGGCGCAGCTGTGGGAAGTGGCGATGGCCTGGGGATGGGTTATTATTCGGTCACATTGAAGTGGAATGAGGCACAAAAATGACAGTCTGACCCTATTTCAGCCATTTCAAGGTTGGTGAGTTTTTGGGATTCCTCATCAACTTCCGCTTTCGTGAAGTTGACAGACATGAGTGTTTAAAACACCAACATTGCTATACATTGCTAAGAAACAGGGGTATTACCAGAGGAAATGATGCGATGAAATCCACATCGCCATGTTTTTTTTTTTTCGGTGGCCTAAGGGTTGTGTGGCTGGGCGACTGGGATTCATAGGTAACCTTGCCAATGTTAACGGACGAAGCATGGTTTGTTGAAGGTTTGCATTGGGGTTTGCCTGGTTGACAATGTGCCCCTCGCTGAGATGCACAGAACCAAAAGAAGTGCCGTAAGTAGAAGTGATTTGATATTGACCTGGTTTTAAGAATGCCGTGTGGGGGTTACAAACAAATATAGGTTTGTCTGAAAGTAGGATAAGTATCGGCCGCCTCCAAATTTGATCGATGATGATCATTTTTGATCACACCCTCTGGATCCTTCTGGTAATTTAACGTAGCTGTGGAACACCACAATTCTTAATACTTAGATAAACATAAATCATCAAACTAAATTTTGCCATGGCTTCCATAGCCATGTTAAACAACCAGAGGGTATAGAACGGCCCGATGTTTCATGGTAGTTTCACGGTGAAGCACCCCAAGTCTTATGACTTTTGGTGAGTTTTGACCCTTGATCCCTTTCTGACCGATTGGCCTGTCCAAAAAACAGGATCTCCAGTGATATCCGCACCAAAAACTGGAATTTCATCCATGGATTTGATGGAAAAACATAGAATATCTCTAAACCGAGTGATTTATCATGATTTATCACCATCTTGACAATAAAGTGAGGGTATACCATGGTATGCTGACAGTTTTCAGAGAACCCCAAATCATATCAAATCAGTGAGATATTTTAAAAAAATACAATTATTTTTGGCTGGCTAATCTCCATGAATCATATCCCTATCATATTCCAATATTTTTCAACCCCAACTAAGCTCCGGAATGTACCTATACCATTAGAGTCCCATTATGTTCCTATCATACCATGATATTCCCACCATCTTCCCATGATCTTCCCCCTTTCCCATCAGATTTGTTATCCCATTAGAGCCCACAAATTCGTCCATTTTCGTCTCCGATGCCAGAGAGTTGCCGTCCTAGGCAAAACAGCTCCAGGGGATGTCCCACTCTATGCGGATGAAGCCAGTGGCAAAGTCTATGAGGCAATGCCCTGCATTAGGCGCGCCGAAAAGCGTGCCGTTTTTGGGTGATTTTTGAGGGGATCTTCGGAGCAAATGGGGGATCTAACCATGAAAACAAGACATGGTTTTGGGAAAACAATTGGGGATTTCTTGGAACATGGGGATTTCACCAAGATAGATAAATTTGGTGATTTTTGCCATCAAATATATGGATTTCAGCCACTCCAAATGATGATATCAAATGGGGATGTCCCAAAATGGAGACCCCAAATCATCCGAACTTGGTCATTTCTACTGAGAATGCCAACGCTTTTGGGGTACCCCATGGTACCCCTGTTCTTGAGAAACACATGGGAATGGGCCATGGCTTCCATAGATTCTATGATTCTCCCATTCTTGGCCCTATTCAAGCATAGAAAACCATAGTCATGGGATGTCATGGGACAATCGTAGGACTAATGGCAACCTACTATATTGATCCCGTATGGCCGTATGGGACATTATCTAATGGAATACCCTCTGGTAAATTAACATGGCTATGGAAAATCACCATTTTTAATGGGAAAACTCACTATAAATGGCCATTTTCAATAGCTATGTTAGTTCACCAGAGGGTATGGCCTATAATTCTCCCATCTCAGGGCCACGGCTTCGCCACGGCTTCCAACCAGGCATTACATGCGCATGGCGGAGCTGTCCCTGACGGCCCGGAATCTCCCGGAGGTGCCGTTATAACTGGGTCAGAAAGGGGGAGTTCACCCGGAAAAAATGGGGGATTCAACATGATTTAACAGAAAAACATGGGATTTACCTAGGAAAATGGGGGGGATTTAGCCTCTGGTAGTTTAACATGGGGACAATTACCATTGTTAGTAAAGAATTTGGATGGACAAAAAAGTCTTGAATCTTTTCATTTGAATGCTGAAATGTCATGAAATAGCAAGTTTGTCCAGCTTTCGAAAAATGAATGTTGGTTGTTACAAGTTGACCAGTATGGACATGGGTCAAATTTTTAAGAGCTAGGGGGCGATTGTGCTTCGTTTGTACTACACACGCAATGTTGGGGTGCCAAGCTTGACCCCATACCCATCCAGGATTTTATCAACCTGAGTTGTAGTAGTAGTAGTAGTAGTAGTTGTAGTTGCTGTTGCTGTTGCTGTTGCTGTTGTTGTTGTTGTTGTTTTTTTGGGGGGACCCCTGATTAAAAAAACAAGTACCTAGCACTTTAACAAAATCCATGACAGAACGATCTAGCTGTGAGCCACTTGATTGTTCGCATGATTCTAGATGATAGCAGTCATCCTTTTCCAAGAAGTAATCTGGAAGTAAGCCTTTCCCACTATATATATATATAATACTATATAATACCCCCAAGAAACCTTGGTTTAGTATTGGATCTATATGGATCTATGCCATTTGAGGATCCACATGGTATATTATCACCATTTCAGGGCGGTTATATTACCCACGTTGAACCACAACTGCCGCGCCACAGAAAGCGGATGCCGCCGCTGCGCAGCTCCATCATTATGTGCGCCAGCTGGTTGGACTTAAATGGAGGCTTCCTAAGTCATAGGGCTACAAAATGGTCATCCAAAATCTAGATGGGATTTTCCATGAAATAAACCAAGCATTTTTTTCAGGATCCCCCATGTATGGAACCTTTTTCCTTCTGCTTCTCCCGTTGCATCGCAGGTACAGTCGTTGCATAAGGAAGTGAAAACTGCCGAGGTCAGGGCGTTGTCTTGTGATTTGCACCAAAAAAAGTGCCACCCGTGGCCTGTTTGGTAATTTTGGGGATGGATTACTGTTGGCTTCCATTGGCTTCCATTCTTTTTATGGTTAGCCACTGTGCTTCTGTTGGCTTCTCAAGGCATCGAAATCCCGGGTACACCAGCTTGCGGGGTATGCGAACAGGGAATTGGTCAAAGGTCTCGAAATTAACTAGCCCCTCATTTTTTCAGAGTTATCACTCATTTTCAACGCTAAACGATTATCTAGACAAACATGAAGCCAAGAAACTATCTCCAGATGGTCAGCACTTGCAACTATTTGCAGTACCATCTGGAGATCAGTGTTGTTAGTTTTGAAGAGACCACCAACATAGTTGGACACATTTCTCACTATTTGCAGTTTTTAAGAGTCTACCCCATTTTGATCCATGGACGCTGGAATGTTGCCTCGCCAAAGGCTGCCTGGACTGGTCCACATGAGGATTCCGAGAGCCAAGGTGCGCTAAACGTTTGGAAGCTGTCCCTAACATGAAAACATATGAAAACCACAGTTTTGGTGCTGAGATCCGGAACAATAGTGGTATGATGAGGCATTTTTTGGGACATGATGTGAGATATGATGGAGATATTAGTGGGATATATATGGATATATCATGATATATCTGGAGAAGTGAAAACGACCGATATATCTGGACGACACCACAAGACATGATGCTTAGGATTAGGGGGGATCATCCCCAGCCTACGCAACCAGCTGACCTGACCTCTCCATCATCCAGTTTGGTGATGTTCAAAATCCATAAGGCAGGACATTGACCAACCCCTGTATATGTCAATGTATATGTCTATCCACCTACATATTATATCCAGATAGACAAATATGATCAAATATGCATATATACTAAACATGTAAAACCATTGGGACACCAACATATTTCGAATACACTGCGATTTTGGGGTGAACAACAACCCGCGGCTGTTTGGCTCCCAGCCGGCACACGAACGGCCATCCCTAAATTGATGGGAAAATTATGGGAAAAGATGGGAACATGCTAAATTGTGATGAGAGATGGGAAAATCAGCCTTCACTTACTGAACGCTGGAAGCCCCACAACGGTGTATATATATATATATGCATATATACCGTATAGGTTTTGAGAACATCACGTAAAGGGCCCAGCAGATCCCAGTCAAACCACCCAGTCCAGATACTTCATACAAAAGGATACTGCCGGCCGGACGGGACGTGCGCCGAAGCGCTCCCATTCGATTCGATTCGCAGATCGGGCGAAAGGGGCGATGCGCAGAGATGAAAGGACGCAGCATGGGAGATCTGGGATGATACCCTCTGGTTATTTGTGACATAGCCATGGTATAGATGGCCCATAGAAATAGATGGTTTACCGTTCATTTATGGCTGAATCCCATTAATGATGCTGCCATTGCCCCATGAGTATCCCCATGTAACTCGGCGCAGAACGGATATCAACTGCGAATTGGGTACACTTCGAATGCTACACTTCGAATGGTTTGAAGCGATTCATTCTTCGGAACTCTAACAGATGACTGGGGAACTCCAGATGATAATCACTGACCATATCCCATAACCATGAGGTATAATTCATCATAGCAATGGTTTGAATTCCTATAGCAACTTTCGATCATTTTGGATCCGGTCATGGGGATGGTCAGCTGGAAGATCCACCAGTGGAATCAAAAAAGGTGATCTGTTTTTCCTTTTTTTGAGGGAGACAGTGTACAACTGCAGATGTACACACACACACATACAGAGATAATATATAACATATAATAATAATAGTAATAATAATAATAGTAATAATATTAATAATAACAATAATAATAATAGTATAATATTAATAATAACAATAATAATAGTATATATATATACACACAGTAAAAACATATCTGTATAAATACAAGTATCTTGCTTGTTCTTCGTGGCTCACGTTCACCATCATAGAAAGAGCTTCTGTAGACGTTTGGAAACAATCCAAAACCTTCGCTCCTCTGCGAGGACATCAGCCGTCATCCACAGGCGAAAAGGGAAGGAATTGGCATCCTCGAGTAGCAAGTCGGAGATGAACGTGGGAGCATAAACATATATATATATACATATACTGTATATATGTATCCCCTTCACCCTAACCCAAAATACCATCCTACTTGTAGAAACCCTGGTTTAGTGTTTTGTTTTCTTCATTTTGGGTGTCCCTTAAATCGGCTATTTTATATTTAATGCTTGGGGGATGAGGCAATAAACATTCGAAACTGGGATGATTGTCTGCAAACATGTTTACCCTACCAAGACAGGGGGATGTAATCATTATCCTGATGGGGGCATAGCTTGTGAAAACGGTTGCTTGCTTCAAGTTTTCTCTTATTTTCGATTCGCAAGAATGGGAGTGATTCAACGAGGCGGGGGGTATACTTTACCATCAAAATCACCGTTAGCCGTTAGCCTTCCCGTCTCAAGCATTGCAGTGGGAAATCACCGTTTTTCATCACATAATCATCCAACTTTGAACCATGGATATGTATATAATTGTGTATATATATATATATATCCACTACACGGTATATGTATAATTAAAAAAAGTAAACACACACACTAGACAAGAATGGATCATTATATGATCCGGCAGGAACTGAATCCTGAAACATGCAAACCAGCCTAGATCGTTAGATGAATGAGGGAGCCACATGAGGTACTTCTCGAAAACGATGTAGGGCATCCAATATTGTCAAACGTAGTCTTAACCAGATTCCATAGAGTTTTGACCAGCATGTTGAAAATCCAAAATAATGTTTCGGCGACGATTTCCCAAAATAACCCAAAGTTCATCGGCGACATGATCTCGGCGAAAATATGTCAAAAAACATAATACTGTCGGCGATATGGTTTCGGCGAAAATCTGAGGAAGGTTCTGATGCATGTAAATCTCAAAAATTGATTCCAGATTGCGACAACAGTGCAGCAACAAGACAGCGTGTTCAACAGTTCAACTTGGTTTCTGCAGGTACACAGTTGGACGTCTCCAACTGCTTCCCATGACATCACTAGCTTCGTTGGCCAGCGTCGTGATGCCATGCGCTGGCCCCCTGCAAATATAAAAAGGTTCCCTGCAAATGTAAAACGGTAAGAGTCAAAGAAGTTTTACATCTGTTCAGATGTTACACACACACACACACCCCGCTTGTAGCGGGGTTTGATTTTTTGGAAGACCATCGCAGCAAATGTCGACAAGATTAAATACATAAAGCTATTCCGGAGCTAATGTACATAGCTGTGTTCAGTCACTCAGAAGGGAGGCTCGTCTCAGCTTGAAGTGTTTCGATCGCGTCACGGAAGCTCATGTCCTCAAGCATCCTCCACGTGTCGTTGATTTCCCCAGATGCCATAGCAGCCCTCAAAGTGATTGAAAGTTGTTGGGCCAAGTCCTGGATCGTCGGAGTAAAGCGGGTTGCCTCCGTAGGTGCCGTGGTCTCAATGGGAACATTGTGAAAAGGGTGATGTCCATGTACTAGAGGAATTTCAAAATGATGTCGCCAATAATCCGCTGTGCGCAGGGACCACTCCCAGTTGCCCGAAAGACCATTAAAGTAGTGTTCAGGATCACGACATCTGGAAAGCCCTGACAAGGGGATCTCTTCAATAAATAGCTCCCTGGTGTTGTTGGAGTGGGTAATGATCTTGAATTGGATCTGGTGAACCACGCGGGAAGAGAAGTGAGCACGATGGAGGTAGTTGTGTGTAGAACTGGGCTCCGGCGGAAACGGGACATCAGGAGGTGCAAGGCCTGAATATGTATCAGAATGGACCGTAGTTCCAAGGTCAGGAGCTGTACTGTCCGTTGCCAAAGGCGCCGAAGTGGTGTTGGTAGGAGGGTCAGAAAGGCAAGAATGACAAAGTGCAGCAGCCTGGGCGTCTGGTACTTGAACTGGGTTGGTAGGAGCGAGTCCACGGGTAGGATTCGAAGGCCAAGCCAAGCCCGCCACGGTCGCGTCTCGTTTGTGCTCCATGGGTGAAACGATCAGAAATGCGAGAAATGGTGCAACAAAGGCTGAGGCATCAAAAATTGCACAAATAAGCCCAGCCAGAACATGATAACACTAATAATAATGATAAAAGAAGTGAAGTCCAGTCATCAATCAAGTGGTTCAATTGCGACGGAGAAGCCAAAGCCCAAAGTCAAATACGGTGGAAATCAAAGAATCCTTTGTGTTGGTGAGGTGTCAAGGGAGAATTGAAAACCCTGCAGCATTGTCTTTTTTGGCCGGCTAGCGTATCAGGGCAAGATCACACCGGAGCTAATTTTGTAGCATTGCAGACGTAGTACGAAAGGCTGTGTGGTACCCGGAATGAGCAAAGAGGATTCGCGGGAGTTGTACTGCCGAAGTCGCCATTCAGGTCGGTATTCCTCCAAAAGCTGCAAGATCGTCATATCATTGGAGACTTGGAATGTATCACCGTCCAGGTCGCAAAAGCGAAACTCCAAATTCGAGGGATCAATTTGGATGTCCCATTGGGACCTCAATCTTTTTGAGATACAGAAGCGTAGCTCGCCAGTTGGAATGAGGCCGGCTTCAACTGGTTCCATCTGACGCGACCAGGTAAACAGAGCTTCAAGTTCGTAGCCACTAACATTTCTGAAATTGGAGCTAGCCATAGCCATGTAGTGTTCACGGTCAGGTTCGCTGCGATGAGTCAATGCCTGTAAGGGAGAGAAGTCAACCAAGATAAGAACAGGTCGGTTTGGAGGAGGGTTCACATCACCAGGAAGGCCTCGGTGTCCAGCAAACCATCCAATGGTTCGGGTACCCAGTGGTGTCTCAATCGTGGATGTAGCGCGATATGGATGGGGCCGAGAAGAATGAGCCATGGCGTCGAATATCGAGTGTCGAGTGTAAAGCAAAAAGCCCAAGCTGCAGAATGGGTTGATAATGACCAAAGAGTAAAGCTCAAAGTGTAGAAAATTGGAGGGAAACGGAGTACCTAGTAAGTAGTCACAAAATGGCGGTAAATCACTGTTCTTTTCCGATGCCGACAAATGATGTGGTGTATTACACACTGGAGTCCGACATATCCATCGGGTCCATATCGTTCTCATCCGGTGGACCATGTACTTGTTGAGGAGGGACGGCAGGGCGAGTGAGATGTACCGTACGCTGTAGTGTTGCCGGTGGTGAAGAAGGTGGTGTAGACCGCCAAGGTGGCCAATATAAAGAGGTGGTGGTTCCTTGAGAGTGGTGTTGGGCAGAGCGTCCCCAGCATGACTGCAAAATATGGAGTTGGTCCGGTATCGCTTCGTACGGCTGGGAGACATAGACGTTGGAGTGTTCAGGGTGTGGTAGAACAGGAACAGCAGTTGCCGTAGGGGAGGAGGATGATGATTGAATTGGTACGTCATAGTATCGGCGCCAATGATTAGCCGTGGTACGTAGGGTCGCCTGATCATTGGTAAGGTGCATGTTCTCC